GGTTATCTGAATTTGAACGGGATCTACTATAAGGACCGAAGAAACGATAATACTGGGATATATTGGTGGTTGTGGAAGCGCAATTTTCATTCTCTAAAACTCACTGAAATGAAATTAAGGAAAAAAACTTAACTTCGCAAAATGAGGCAATTCTTGTATTTTTCAAACCAGCTAAATAAAAAGTAAATTAAAATTTAAAAGTATGTCACAGTTCTGGCATTGCAAAATACGTGACGTCGTCATTTTTTTAAATTCTGTACCTATCAATATTATAATTATTTTGTTGTAGCTATTCTTGTTATGCCGTGTCTCATTTTATTTTTATATCTGTTTATTAAGATTACATGGCGTCTGTTGCTCATCGCTGTTTTCAAAAACTACAATCGATAACTTAAGTTTCAATAAAATGTGTGTTAAACATGCGAGAATATTTTACATTTTTCACTCTAACTACAGATTGTTTTTCTTGCGTGTGAGTCCTTTTTTTTAATATGGTGGCATACCATTATTGTATGTACGTTTCTGTCCTTAAAGACAATGGTGGGTGTGATGTATTTCATGCGTAGGCCTATTTATTGTTCAATCGGGAAATATTGGAAATTAACACATTACTGTCCGGTCATTGCTAAGGCATCTTCTCAATATCTAATAATTTTTTAGTCCACGTTAATTACAGATTCTACAAATATTTCATTGTTTTTTGACTAACTTAAATTTTTACCTTCGTATCAAATGCAAGTATATCAGTAATTTTCAAACTTTAAAATTGGAAAGTTTTATTGTGATTCGAGCCTTTGTGTATTCTATTTACTTGTTTAACCAATATTGTAATTAAATTTGCTGCATATTAGAGTTATGGTAATCTGTAATAAATGTCAAAATTTATTTTCATTTTTATCATCATTATAACTTTAATTTGAAATTTTAAGTATACATAATTGTTTTGCCATGATGCTTTCAAACTAAATCGGGCAAAACTTAATCGGGGAGTTTATTACACGTTTTTATTTCTGCGAATTGCCCCGGTATTTTAGAGAAGTGATGCTTTTATTTTGTCGACGCAAAAGCATGCTAAATTGAAGACAATTAAATAAATAACGCAAGATTTTTAAAATATGTGCGGATTTCGAAGCGATGAATTTGTATTTTCGATATACTGATGTACTTTATATATATTTAATTGTACTCTACGGGATTTTATTGAAGGTCTTGAAATTTTTTCTAACGGCGATAACGAATTCGCAAGATTGCAAATATAAGTTTCAAAACTAAATAGTATACAAGTACTAAATACTTATTTTTATGTCAACAGATTGACGTGGTATTTCAGAGAAGTAATGTTTTCATTTTGACGCAAGAAGACCCAACCGCAGGTTACGTTACACTAATATAATGATAGAGAAAAAAAATAGATTCTCGTTGCTGACATGAAGCGAATATTTTACACTACAGAAAAGTCGTTATACGCTTAGAAAGTCGGCTCGTTTCACTAGCGCGTAATCTCGGCGACTGTTTCAGAAAGGGAATTTTCGATTTTGAAGCCCGCTTTTTTGAAAATACTGGCTACGAGCCTGCTTCCATGCTCATATGTTTATAAGAACACAAGCAAATGTGTATGCAAAATTAATGCAAATAATTCAAGGTGGGAGATTCATATTCACTAAAATTGGATCTCAAAAAGAGGGGGAAATTAATGCTACTTATATACAAAGCTATTGCTGTAAATTTAATGTGCATACAATTTGTTTCGGCATCTGTTTCGGCGAACTGTATATTCCACACGCATCGACAATATTTCACGTATACTGTATATGTGAGGGAACGCCGCTTATTTGTTGTTACATCTGTGAACCGTAAAAATAAATGTATTCCATTAATAAATGTTTTTTATGTTTTTATTCTATTAAAAGATGACAATGAATGTAATATTAATGGGTACGGAATAATTGGCGAGTTGTTCTTACACCGTTAATCCGTAAATAAATTTACTTCATGAATTTACTTTTAATTTTTGGTTTGAAAACTGAGTACGTTCACATGCAGTTGTGCAATGGTTGCAGATCTTACTGCCGGCTCTGCCCCCTAGCGCTCCAAGTTCGTCAGATACTATGTTGCAGGCAGTAACACATACAGAAATATTGCATTATACGGAACATATCAAGTATACATTGGGTATACAATGCTTGTTGACTTAAGAATGGCTTTGAAATAAAGTCAATAATTGCGGATTTACTTAATCGTTGAATAACGACTTAACTATTATAATTTCAGATTGTTAGTTTTGTTCACCAGGATCAATTAATGTGTTCACAAAGCATAATATATTTCTTCTCTTACTTGGTATCTTGTGCAGTTGATTGGAAGCGTGGAAATTACATCTTAATATTTTCACGATAATAATATTACGAGTGTACAAAATATCACTTAATCCTACATACAAATGCAATTCTATTAAACTTGCTTGTCAACTAACAAACACTTGATCTAGGAGTTTTCTTTATTCCACATATTTGTACCCCGAATAAGTACCAATTGATATCTCATCATATACTCTGGCATTAATTGATGTACGTTCGTACTGAGTAAAATTTATGATAGCAGAACACTTCGATATGCTATACATCCATATATACAGAATGTCAGATATGCACATTTGCACAATTAGTATATTAGAATTAACAGTATGTTGTTAGTTAGTGAATTGAATTGGAGTTATATTACTGAATTGAAAATTTAAAAGCTTCAGTTTTATTTATCTTCACTTAAATTTGTAACGATTGAAACTGGATAAATTTGGTCATTTTTATTGAGAAAAAGGCCCACAATTGAAGTTTTAAAGTTCATCAAACGATACGTTTAGTTACGTTGCTAGATTAGAGTTTTCTTTTTCAGCTTGTTCTTTTGTTTACTTAATTAGCTCTGTCAATGGGGCCTTCATACCATGATTTTAGAAATAGAATCACTGGTAGAATCAACGAAAATACTCTGGCACATGTTGAGCCGAATGCGCCTCCCAATCTTGCACACAAAGAACCTATGAGCGGAATATTTTCCAGTTTTTTGTCTTCATTATAAAAGACGTAGATTATGGCTGTTGTGAGATCCATTATAGCTTAAATAAAATAAACTTTATTAATCAATTAAAGAGTCCAGCTGCACACTAACACAAATGTATTTCTGTAACGTTTCGTCCGACCAGAGTCAGACTTCCTCAGACAAGCAGTTTACAACAATGGCAAGAAAGAAAATTTGCTAAATGAATTTGAAATATCAAATCAAGTATGACGTAACAATGCATAAACATTTAATTTGCATTTAGCCGTAGAAGTAATGATTGGGAAGATTAGAACCACAAATATCAGTGGAGCTCATTTCAGATGTAATTGAAAAAAATAAAATAAAAAAAGGGTTTTATTATTGCATTTACGAAAATGATGGGTAACTAAATGTAATTGAAATTATGGGCACTTAGAGAACCACGAGGAAGTAAACCAACATTTAAACATAAATCAAGGCTTAGTCTGGTGAGGACCAATTTCAAAATTAAAAAAGGTTAAAAGTTATTGCTGAATTTTGATCTTAAATAGCGTTAAAATATAATATTAATTCATAATAATAAATGAATAAATTAACCATCTAGCATATTTCGAGTAGGACAAAAGAAAATAAATAAAAAAATTATCGCAAGCACATAACTCCAAGGTTTCGAATTATAATTAAAATTAAACTTGGGACACTTGAAAATAGTAAAATAAAACGCCAATCAAGGGGCGAGTAATAATATAAACTTAAGAAAAAGAGTGATTGTTAAATTTAAATATTATATGACGTTGAATGAAAATTATTATTAAATAATAATTCTTAGATGAGTCTACAGTCTATTTCTCCCGTGAATTGAGTCCTTTTGGTTCCAATGTTCCGAATTTGTTGATGTAGTATGCTTCTACTGTTTGTCGATAGCCCTGGTCTCTGAATAGTTTTTTTATTCCAGTTACTGAAAAGTCACTTATTGAATGTCCCAGTTTGTTGAAGTGTTCTCCCACTACTAAATCATATTTCCTTTTCGTAATACTTCTCAGATGTTCTGTTATACGATATTTTAACGACCTTCCGGTCTCGCCGATATACTGCATCCCACATTTCTTACAGTTTATTAGATAAATAACATTATTTGATTTACAACTTATCCTTTCGTTAATGTTTATATGGACTCCCGTCACGTTCCCGGTACTTATTTTTGTTTCTTCGGAATATTTACAGGTGGTGCATGCTTTTCTATTACATTTATAAAAACCAGATTGTACTTTCTGTGATATTACTGGTTGTAGTTTAGCTCTAACCAGTCTATCGCGTAATGTAGGGCACTTTCTATATGCAATTTTCGGAGGTTGAGGGAAAATCTCTTTTAGTCGTGCATTGTTGTCAAGAATATATTGGTAGTCCGAAAATATTTTTCTAAAGTGCGGTTGGTTTGGGTGGTAGTTGGTAATAAATGGCAATAGTTGCTGACCTTGTTTTGTACTTTTCGGTGTTAAAAGGTAATCTCTGTTCATTTCTTTTACCAATTTTATTGTTTTGTCAATAGAAGTCTCTTCGTAATTTCGTTGCATGAGATAGCGTTTCATAATTCCTGCATGCTTGTCAAAAAATTCGACATTTGAGCACGATCTTCTTATTCTTATGAAGAGTCCCTTTGGAATGTTTGCAGTAATATGTTTGGGGTGGCATGAGGAGGGTAAAAGATATTGGTGAGAGTCCGTGTCTTTAGTGTAAATTTCCGTTTCCAATTTGTTGTCTATGATATGGACTTTTACGTCTAAAAATGTAATGTTTTCCGTTGAGTATTCGAATGTGAACTTGATAGAGAGGGTGTATTGAATTCGCATGGTTTATAAAAGATATAAGCTCGGTTTCGCCGTGTGTCCAGATCAGAAAACAGTCATCGATGTATCTATAGTAGTATTGTGGCCTAATCTTCGCTGTTTCTAGAATCTCAGACTCTAAGTATGCCATAAATATGTTTGCATATTTGGGAGCCATCTTAGTTCCCATCGCTGTCCCATTGATTTGGAGATAATGCTTTCCGTCAAATAAAAATTATTATTATCAAGAACCATATTAACTGCTTCTTTAATATATGGAATTTCCCGTTTTTCTGTGGTATATTTACTGAGATACTTCTCCACCGCTAAGATGCCATCTTTATGTGGAATATTTGTATACAAGGAAGTCACGTCCATGGTTACTAAATAAGATCCTGGCGGAATATTGTCAATTTTTTTCAGAATATTCAGAAAATCCATACTGTCTCTGACATATGATGGTATAACCTCTTTGCACATGAGGTTAGTTAATTTGTAATCTATGAAAGCTGATAATTTTTCCGTTGCAGTTCCGTTTGTTGATATGATTGGCCGACTGGGGTGATTTTTCTTATGCACTTTTGGTTGTAAACGTAAACGACCTGGTTTAGGTCTTTTTGGAGTTATCCCTTTGAGTAGTATGTCATCAATAATGCCGGCTTCCCTCATATTATGACATAATTTGGTTACTTTGTTGCCAATTTGTATAGATATGTCTTTTGGAATGCACTTGTATACCAAGTTATCCGATAGATGCCGCATACCTTCTGTGATGTAGTCAGTTCGGGAGAGTATGCAAGTTCCCCCGCCTTTATCCGCAGGTACTATGATGATATCCCTTGCTGCTCTTTGTTCTAGTTCCCTCAAGGCCTCGACTTCGTCTTTTTTGAGATTGGAAAATGTACGTTTCTTTGATGTCGTTTTCTGGATTTCCCGTTTTAGAGTGTTAGCGAAGTGATCTAAGTCAGAATTTCTCCCAGTAGGCGGTGTCCATCTACTTGGAACACGTAAGGATTTCGGATATGTTTCAGCTACTTCGCTGATGGTTTGACTGGAGAATGGATCAAAAAAGTATTCTCTCAAGCGGTAGTTGCGAATAGTTTTATTAATGTCTGTTTGCAGTTGAAAGTTATCGAATCTGTCGGGAGTAGGACTAAAGCCAAGGCCTTTTTTTAGGACTTTTTGTTGTGACTCAGTTAGATGGACATTGGACAGATTGTACAAAGTTGAGGTCACTGTCGCGATCTCTCCTTTGTTTCGTCTTTTCCTCTTTCTATTGAAACGTCTATTTCTCTTTCGTTTGGTTCTAGTCAAGTTTGGCTGAGTTGATTCCACTGTGTTTATATTTATTTCATTTGATTTAGTTGGGTTTCCGTTTGTTATGACTGTATTCCTCATTTTTCTCATCCTTGTTCTTTTAAGTTTTGCCGTTAGATTTGTTCTAGAAATATCTATCATAAGTCGGATGGCATTCCAGATATCTGCTTTTATTTTTGCTCTTAGTTTATTTTCTATTTCTAACCTGGTATTAGTTAATCTCATTTAAACTTGAACGACATTCCTTAAGAGCTTGCTTCGTCAATTGTTTTGAAAATTCTTTATGTAAATTTTGCCATTTGGTCAAGTTTTTCAGCGGGGGGCACAAGTTTTCGGAGTGAATTCGAGTCCTTTCGGACATTTTCCAGTTACAAACAAATTGCTCTAGGTTTAGCTTGTGGTGATGGAGTCGGGCTTCTTTCAGTGTAATTTCTCTCAAGTTGTTGAATTCTTTCTTGTGGTATTTGTATATTTCTTTCTTGCAATCGTTGTCGAGTCCAGAGTTAGAAGGATCCATTATGGATACAGAAGTCCCACGAATACAATAACATAAATTTGAGTTGGGTTGCGCGAGACTAACTTCCTATCTTTTCCCTATGCCTTTGACATTCTATACTACTATAGATACATCGATGACTGTTTTCTGATCTGGACACACGGCGAAACCGAGCTTATATCTTTTATAAACCATGCGAATTCAATACACCCTTCTATCAAGTTCACATTCGAATACTCAACGGAAAACATTACATTTTTAGACGTAAAAGTCCATATCATAGACAACAAATTGGAAACGGAAATTTACACTAAAGACACGGACTCTCACCAATATCTTTTACCCTCCTCATGCCACCCCAAACATATTACTGCAAACATTCCAAAGGGACTCTTCATAAGAATAAGAAGATCGTGCTCAAATGTCGAATTTTTTGACAAGCATGCAGGAATTATGAAACGCTATCTCATGCAACGAAATTACGAAGAGACTTCTATTGACAAAACAATAAAATTGGTAAAAGAAATGAACAGAGATTACCTTTTAACACCGAAAAGTACAAAACAAGGTCAGCAACTATTGCCATTTATTACCAACTACCACCCAAACCAACCGCACTTTAGAAAAATATTTTCGGACTACCAATATATTCTTGACAACAATGCACGACTAAAAGAGATTTTCCCTCAACCTCCGAAAATTGCATATAGAAAGTGCCCTACATTACGCGATAGACTGGTTAGAGCTAAACTACAACCAGTAATATCACAGAAAGTACAATCTGGTTTTTATAAATGTAATAGAAAAGCATGCACCACCTGTAAATATTCCGAAGAAACAAAAATAAGTACCGGGAACGTGACGGGAGTCCATATAAACATTAACGAAAGGATAAGTTGTAAATCAAATAATGTTATTTATCTAATAAACTGTAAGAAATGTGGGATGCAGTATATCGGCGAGACCGGAAGGTCGTTAAAATATCGTATAACAGAACATCTGAGAAGTATTACGAAAAGGAAATATGATTTAGTAGTGGGAGAACACTTCAACAAACTGGGACATTCAATAAGTGACTTTTCAGTAACTGGAATAAAAAAACTATTCAGAGACCAGGGCTATCGACAAACAGTAGAAGCATACTACATCAACAAATTCGGAACATTGGAACCAAAAGGACTCAATTCACGGGAGAAATAGACTGTAGACTCATCTAAGAATTATTATTTAATAATAATTTTCATTCCAACGTCATATAATATTTAAATTTAACAATCACTCTTTTTCTTAAGTTATATATTATTACTCGCCCCTTGATTGGCGTTTTATTTTACTATTTTCAAGTGTCCCAAGTTTAATTTTAATTATAATTCGAAACCTTGGAGTTGTGCTTGCGATAATTTTTTTATTTATTTTCTTTTGTCCTACTCGAAATATGCTAGATGGTTAATATTCATTTATTATTATGAATTAATATTATATTTTAACGCTATTTAAGATCAAAATTCAGCAATAACTTTTAACCTTTTTTAATTTTGAAATTGGTCCTCACCAGACTAAGCCTTGATTTATGTTTAAATGTTGGTTTACTTCCTCGTGGTTCTCTAAGTGCCCATAATTTCAATTACATTTAGTTACCCATCATTTTCGTAAATGCAATAATAAAACCCTTTTTTTATTTTATTTTTTTCAATTACATCTGAAATGAGCTCCACTGATATTTGTGGTTCTAATCTTCCCAATCATTACTTCTACGGCTAAATGCAAATTAAATGTTTATGCATTGTTACGTCATACTTGATTTGATATTTCAAATTCATTTAGCAAATTTTCTTTCTTGCCATTGTTGTAAACTGCTTGTCTGAGGAAGTCTGACTCTGGTCGGACGAAACGTTACAGAAATACATTTGTGTTAGTGTGCAGCTGGACTCTTTAATTGAATAGAATAGTCATGTTTATTCCAGCTACAGTATCCTTGCAGTATACGCATACGGATCCACTAGCATAAAGGCATAGGGAAAAGATAGGAAGTTAGTCTCGCGCAACCCAACTCAAATTTATGTTATTGTATTCGTGGGACTTCTGTATCCATAATGGATCCTTCTAACTCTGGACTCGACAACGATTGCAAGAAAGAAATATACAAATACCACAAGAAAGAATTCAACAACTTGAGAGAAATTACACTGAAAGAAGCCCGACTCCATCACCACAAGCTAAACCTAGAGCAATTTGTTGTAACTGGAAAATGTCCGAAAGGACTCGAATTCACTCCGAAAACTTGTGCCACCCCGCTGAAAAACTTGACCAAATGGCAAAATTTACATAAAGAATTTTCAAAACAATTGACGAAGCAAGCTCTTAAGGAATGTCGTTCAAGTTTAAATGAGATAACTAATACCAGGTTAGAAATAGAAAATAAACTAAGAGCAAAAATAAAAGCAGATATCTGGAATGCCATCCGACTTATGATAGATATTTCTAGAACAAATCTAACGGCAAAACTTAAAAGAACAAGGATGAGAAAAATGAGGAATACAGTCATAACAAACGGAAACCCAACTAAATCAAATGAAATAAATATAAACACAGTGGAATCAACTCAGCCAAACTTGACTAGAACCAAACGAAAGAGAAATAGACGTTTCAATAGAAAGAGGAAAAGACGAAACAAAGGAGAGATCGCGACAGTGACCTCAACTTTGTACAATCTGTCCAATGTCCATCTAACTGAGTCACAACAAAAAGTCCTAAAAAAAGGCCTTGGCTTTAGTCCTACTCCCGACAGATTCGATAACTTTCAACTGCAAACAGACATTAATAAAACTATTCGCAACTACCGCTTGAGAGAATACTTTTTTGATCCATTCTCCAGTCAAACCATCAGCGAAGTAGCTGAAACATATCCGAAATCCTTACGTGTTCCAAGTAGATGGACACCGCCTACTGGGAGAAATTCTGACTTAGATCACTTCGCTAAACACTTCTAAAACGGGAAATCCAGAAAACGACATCAAAGAAACGTACATTTTCCAATCTCAAAAAAGACGAAGTCGAGGCCTTGAGGGAACTAGAACAAAGAGCAGCAAGGGATATCATCATAGTACCTGCGGATAAAGGCGGGGGAACTTGCATACTCTCCCGAACTGACTACATCACAGAAGGTATGCGGCATCTATCGGATAACTTGGTATACAAGTGCATTCCAAAAGACATATCTATACAAATTGGCAACAAAGTAACCAAATTATGTCATAATATGAGGGAAGCCGGCATTATTGATGACATACTACTCAAAGGATAACTCCAAAAAGACCTAAACCAGGTCGTTTACGTTTACAACCAAAAGTGCATAAGAAAAATCACCCCAGTCGGCCAATCATATCAACAAACGGAACTGCAACGGAAAAAATTATCAGCTTTCATAGAATTACAAATTAACTAACCTCATGTGCAAAGAGGTATACCATCATATGTCAGAGACAGTATGGATTTCTGAATATTCTGAAAAAAATTGACAATATTCCGCCAGGATCTTATTTAGTAACCATGGACGTGACTTCCTTGTATACAAATATTCCACATAAAGATGGCATCTTAGCAGTGGAGAAGTATCTCATAAATATACCACAGAAAAACGGGAAATTCCATATATTAAAGAAGCAGTTAATATGGTTCTTGATAATAATAATTTTTTATTTGACGGAAAGCATTATCTCCAAATCAATGGGACAGCGATGGGAACTAAGATGGCTCCCAATATGCAAACATATTTATGGCATACTTAGAGTCTGAGATTCTAGAAACAGCGAAGATTAGGCCACAATACTACTATAGATACATCGATGACTGTTTTCTGATCTGGACACACGGCGAAACCGAGCTTATATCTTTTATAAACCATGCGAATTCAATACACCCTTCTATCAAGTTCACATTCGAATACTCAACGGAAAACATTACATTTTTAGACGTAAAAGTCCATATCATAGACAACAAATTGGAAACGGAAATTTACACTAAAGACACGGACTCTCACCAATATCTTTTACCCTCCTCATGCCACCCCAAACATATTACTGCAAACATTCCAAAGGGACTCTTCATAAGAATAGAGATCGTGCTCAAATGTCGAATTTTTTGACAAGCATGCAGGAATTATGAAACGCTATCTCATGCAACGAAATTACGAAGAGACTTCTATTGACAAAACAATAAAATTGGTAAAAGAAATGAACAGAGATTACCTTTTAACACCGAAAAGTACAAAACAAGGTCAGCAACTATTGCCATTTATTACCAACTACCACCCAAACCAACCGCACTTTTAGAAAAATATTTTCGGACTACCAATATATTCTTGACAACAATGCACGACTAAAAGAGATTTTCCCTCAACCTCCGAAAATTGCATATAGAAAGTGCCCTACATTACGCGATAGACTGGTTAGAGCTAAACTACAACCAGTAATATCACAGAAAGTACAATCTGGTTTTTATAAATGTAATAGAAAAGCATGCACCACCTGTAAATATTCCGAAGAAACAAAATAAGTACCGGGAACGTGACGGGAGTCCATATAAA